GACGTTTTATTAATTTATGTTTTAAGTTATATATTGAAATAAACTTTGTTATCCTTTTGTATTTAACATTGAGTGAACCGACAAGTACAATATTTAAGTTCTATTTAATTTATGAGGCGTTTTATGACGCCACATATGAATTTGGTGATATCACATTTGAGTTCTGTTTTAGTTTGTAAGACTTTTTCTAACTGTTCGAGAGTTTATCTTATAACGTTCAAATAAAGTACCTCACAAACTTAATAGATAAATAATAATAACATTACTCCATTATGGTCAGAAAAAACGTATTTTTATTATTTTATTGACACTATAATTTATACAACTGGTCCATACTAATATAATAATTTAAAGTGACAAACTCAGCCGCGAAATATCGAAGCAAAATTGATTCAATACAAAGCTTATTATAAATATTACATCTCTAAACCGGAGTGTATTAAAATAATTTAAATGGAAAATGTCTCGACGTCGATTCTCGTTCACAAAACGTCTTTATTCGTTTGTGAAATTTACGATAGGCTATAAAATCGCGTACCTAAAGATCGGTGAATAAAAGTTAGGCAGAAAGCGCCAGGCACCTTCGTGATCACGTTATACACTAAAAATAGTGTGTACTTATTTAGGGATGTATCGATATTTGTTGGTATCGTTTTTATTAGGTACTTCGAAAGGTCAATATACATATTTAGAATGTTTTGTTGTGGAAATATCGATATTTTACCACACCATTGTGCTCCATCATCAAATACAAGATTTATTTGCTGTAAGCATGATATAGTATAATCTATGTGGAAATCTCAGCAAAAACATATTGATATTATAAAGGGGTAAAGTGAGTTCGGATATCCGGGGTAATCTGCAGTGCTACTGATCCAATTTTGAAAATTCTTTTACTGTTAGTAAATATATGTATATTTTCAATAATAAATCACAATAAATGTTATTGAAGTTAGCAAAAATTCTAAAATATGACGTGCGCTGTCTGAATGGTTTGAAATAAAGGAATAAAATCTACAGCAAAGTTATTAATTACGGTTAGCTTCATAAATTGGTACGCACTATCATGCATTTTAAATTTAATCAAAAAAAAAATTATGTTAAAAGTAAAATAAATTTTACAAGTAGTTCATTTAAAATTTTAGAGAATATTAGTGCAGTACTTTCACATACGCCAAAATAGAAGCCTCACTAAAATGTGTTGAACAGTTCAAAAGTTCCACAAAGAAATATTGCACCCGTGCGAAGCCAGGTTGGGTCACTAATATGTTTATAAATATCATTTGCCTAAAATTATGTGCACTAAGACTCAAAGCAGTTTTTGTGTTAAAATTTGAAAACTAAAACACTCCATTTTATTTACCACAATAAATCCTAATAAATTTTGTAAAATGTAAGCCAAGCGTGATTTATTTAATTATGTATATTATGTGCTTAATGCATTTTCTGGTAAAAATATACATATTTTATATTAAACACTTGAAGTAAATTGATTTATAATGAATACAAATACATTAATCCTTACATTGCACATTTACATATTTTTATATAGCACTTTAACCCTTTTATGCCATTGATTTTTACTCATATCTACTTAAAAATGCCAAAGAAATCTTTGTCGTGTTGATGTCTCTAAAAGAAATGTATCTCCTCCAAAAATTATCCAATTTTAATATTTTTTTTTACAGCAAGCTAAACAGCGACTGATTTTACGAGCGCTATGACGCTCGTGGCACTTTTAGTTGCATTGCGCACGAGCGCGATGGCGCTCGACGGCACTCAAAGGGTTAAAATACCTGTAAACTATCGATACCTTTTATCGATACACATCACTATAGAAGCGGCCGTCCGGCGGTGCTCGTAAAATCTTATGATAAGCACCATTATCATCACAAAGGATGCGTGTAATTGTTTGTCAAATAAATACTAATAAAACTTTGATGTTTATTAAATATAATTTCGAAAAGGGCCTCGGCATTATGCATTCTTGATTGTTATAATAGTATTTTACTGTTTTTACTATAGTATTTTATTGATACTTGACAGTTAATTTAAAGAAAACTGTATATTTGTTCTAGTTAATAGTGCGTTCAGCATTTGTAAGATGTAATTTAGTAATAATTAAATGTGTCACACGTTTATAAGTAATTGGTTACTTCTCAAACTAGAATACTGTGTTTAATTAGAAATTACATAATATCTGTAGACACAATATAAAAAAAAAGACACGAGCTAATTTAAAAAAAGTTTGTTTCTCTCTATTGAGTAGAGTATCTTTCCCAATCAGAGGAGAATATTAGCCTACCTACTAGGTTTTCTAGTGACTTTGTCTGCATGATCGAAATACATTATCGATTCGTATGAAAACCTATGTCTTTCTTTAGCCTACATATGTAATTGTGTACTTATACATAATTTACATTATTTCATGAAAACTAGTTATGTAAGGCGCCAAGAGGCAATAAACTCACTTTCACATTTATCATATTATTTTATTTATTTATTCATTAGTATATGTATGTGTTCAAGGTGGACTTAATGTTGAAAGCATTTTCTCTTAGTTAACCTTAGAAAAGTGTCAGAATACTTGAATGCGGTACTTATATTATGTTATAATTATAAATTATATTTATTAGTTATTTAGGATTGTGTTTGCACTACTATATTTGGTTTGAAGTGATTCGGCAGTGAAATTACATGGTATAGACACATAATATTTTGTTGCCATGGGAGACATAGTATATTTTGTGATATGTGAGGTTTGTAGGTGCTATTTATATCTGTAGTACAGTTATAAATTTTCAACAGGTAGACTGCCATCTTATTAGCCATTACAAATAGAATAAAAAAAAATGTTTAACAGAATTTAAGAGTCCAAGAGATGTCTAACAATAGTTAGGTGCTATAACTACTAGATAATAAGACTGTCTAGGTTAGACATCGACCGCAGTTTGGGCCGCAGAGGTCGCCACGTAATTGGTCACGTAGCGAGTCCTAGTGGCATCCCTTCACCAGGCCTTGAATGACTAACGCCAAATTGGTGATGATTATGTGTGATTTGTTTATGAATCAGAGGTCGGGTATTGACTTTATACAATTAGACACGACCAGTTTTATCTGTAAATATGAGTCGGATATCTCGTATTCGTCAAAAATTTATATTGGCAGTAAATAATACAAGATTTTGTTCTACAATAAGATTGTATTCCTCAAAAAATCTACTTCAGTTATGATAAAATCAGTTATTTTTATTTAAAAACTAAACTACAGAGTTAAATAAACGGTTTAATAGCCGATTGTGATAAGATTTTCTATGGAACTAATCTAAATTCTAAATGATTTACGAGATCTGATATTAATTGGAAATACGCATAGAAAAAAATCTGCTTTTTATTGAGCACAGTAGATTTTTTTAATGTAACTTAGAATGACAAACAACTGACAGCCCACCTGATGGAAAGTGTTAACCGTCGCCTATAGATATGAGCAGTACCATGGACATAACAGTTTCGCCCTTGATACCCCCCATGCGTATATTGTTTCGAAATTTCCCAAACGAAACAGAAATTTGATGTTAAAATTACATAATACATGCCGTTTGGAAATATTTAAAATGTTAAAATATTGTTCCTTTGGACTTTTATGATAGGATGACGAACGAAATGTTAAACTCTATTTATTGGTCCGATTTTGGTGTAAACAAAAACATGAAATTGAGTCCGAAATTTCGGAATTTCATTTCATGGTAGACCCGCAGGTGTTATTCCTCTGTACCATGTAAATTAAATTTGTAATTAATGTTTTCATTGTTTCATACCAGACGTATTTATCTCATTTATTTTTGTATAAATCATAGGTATACGTAATAGAACATACTACTCTAATGTACTGATATGAAAATATAATATTTATTGAACACGTGTCGCAAAACGTGCGTGAACAAAATGGTAGTCGGAGATTATGGCTAATATAGAAAGTTGTGGAACATCAGATAGTAATAGTGGTGGTCAATCTTCCAGTGTTGGCAGTCACACACATATTAATGGTAGCGGAATTAAACAAAATAATTCTAATTAAATAACCAGATATATTATTGCGACACACTGCATGTGCTATAAATTCAATACTAATTCTCATATTACTACAATACCTTTCTGTCATAACTATCCATATAAACTGTACCTTCGCATGTAAAACCTTTGTATCTTATGCAAAAACTGATATCATATCAATAAATGTGATAGTTCGCTAATTATTCATTCTAAAACATGGCCAAGGTATACATACAATTATCAATTATTTTAAGCACACATTCTACAAAGTATAAACACATTACAGTGTGATCTCGGTATAAAATGGGCCATCCTTTTCTTTCCAGTAAGTATCATAAGAGGCGACTATGAGAACTTAATGGTGGGGGAATGGGCAGCAGTGCCCCTCTTAAAACATCAACAAAGCCTAACTGTGGATGCCGATTCACCTACCAAACGTGGAAACTGTCAAAACCCCCCTTGTGGGGGAGGCCTATGTTCAGCAGTGGACAGTTTTTTTTATATAACTTAGAATGGCAAACAAGCTGACGGCCCACCTGATGGAAAGTAGTAACTGTTGCCTATAGACATGAGCAGTACCATGGACATAACAGAGTATACTGTTTAGCCCATGATACCCCCTATGCGTTGCCATTCCTGAGGACTCAGTTGTTATTCCTCTGTACCCAGTAAATTCACACCATATCCCATCCTTCAAACCGAAACACAGCCATGCAAACACAACTGCTTCACTGTTGAAACACGAATGGGACAGAGGTACCCAAGCAATCACTTTTTCGAAATGATGATACTAATCAGACTAGATATTGATTTTGAATGGCCCAGACTTTGGAAACCATTAACTCCGATCTTTGTGAATAGTGCTTAGACTTTGTGTTATTTTATAAAGAATAGGAATAAAACAACTTCTCCTTCCAATAATATTTAATTAAGAAATATTTACAACGTACATTTTAATTGAATAGGACGGAATAATGAGATAGGCAATAATAGGTACAAAATCTTAAAAAGATTTATTAATGTCTGTCTGTACAATATTATTTTTTCTTTATTATTAATAGGCCTCTGATGACGATCTTGTAGACATTTAATTATTATTATACAAGAAATATAATCCGTTAAGAATATTGATTTTATGATACAAATGATAAGAAAGTAATAAAAAAACTTGTTGAATATAAATTAAAATTATCTTCAATATAAACAATCCATATTTACATCACAATACACAGTTAAAAAAAAACTACAAAATAAAGTCATAGATAAGTAGTATATAATATTAAAAATATGTAAAAATTAAATTGATATTATTGTACATTTTACATTTATGATATTTGATATCAACAAATTAAATCAGCCCTTTGTCTTAATAATTCCAGTCTTATTTCATGTTCCCGCGCCGCCATTCTTAAAGCCGCGATGCTGGAACTCCTAACGTCCTCCATTTGTGGTGGTAACGTCTCACTTCCAGGGGATATTGGTGGAGAGATGGACGGGGCTGGTGACCGGGATACCTCGGGCGATAATTGGGACCGCTCGGGGGACAGCCGCGGAGGTTCGGGCATGGTCAGATTAGCGAACAGCGAATGAAAATGCGCGGGCGATGTAGCGTAAAGCGGTGCGCCGAATAGAGGCGGACGCGATAGTGGAGGTAAATACTGGGCTCCAAATAAAGGGTTGTTGGGGTACCTGTGGGATAAAATAATATTATTAGTAAAATTGATGAACAAACTCATTTTTTAATGTATTTATGGTTATAAATTATTAATTAACAAATATAATTATAGAGTTTGTCGGAATAAGGCATAATTTTCAAAATAACCTATTAAAGTTCCACTTTTGGGGACAGTATCTCACTATAGAAGGATATATTAATATTTATGAGTTTTAGCATATGGGTTATATTATTTTGAGTTTTTCTTTTTAGGGATCCTATATGTACCTATCTATAACTAGCTGTACCCTATAGTTAAACTTGTGTTCATATCATGATGAAATACCCAATATTATCTTTAAAGAAATGAGCTATCAAATTAAAAAAAAAATTTAAAAACAACCGCTAGTGCCAAAAATAATGCGTTCATAAAAATAAACCCTTTGCTTTATTAAAATATTATAGATTTGTATACTCTTTGCGCTAAAAGAATTATAACATGTCTTTACTCCTCATACTTAAGATATTATGAGAACTGACTGAGAAAACAAAACTAATGTCCAAGTAACCAATCTCAGTAACGGGACTATTATGGAAAAAACCCCATACCTTAGAACCTAGATGGTCGCGAACAGCGCAGTTTCAAAGATATTTCCTCTCACGAATGCTCAGGTTATGGAATGAGCTCCTTGTTAAGGTTTTTTCAAAGGACTACGGCATTGGGTTCTTCAAAAAAGGGATGCAGAGATTTCTTCAGAGTCGATAACGCGTGTGTAATGCCTCTGGTATGCGTGTGTAATGCCTCTGGTATTGTAGGCGTTCATATGCTGCTTGCTGCATGCTTCATTTGCCACCTCAATGGTATAAAAAAAGAAATGAAATATTTTCTTCGTCAAAACTTACCTAAAAGATGCCAAGGCGGTGTCAAACGGTTTTCTAAGACCGAATCCTAATTGTGAGAGTGGATGAGGTGGGGCGGGTAGGGTAGCGGAAGTGGGTAGAGGCTGACCGCTACCCAAGTACCCGCTGTACGGGTGTGCATGAGGTCCAACTTTTTCTTGTTTCCGCCATTTTGCGCGCCGATTTTGGAACCACACCTGCAGACAATAGGAATTTGTTTAGATTCACTGATGCTATATCTAATTGATCTCTAAAATAAAATTTCAAATTGATATTACAGCCAAATCTTTATGATTCAGACCAATATGAACAAAATTTTTAAGAGATTTAAATAAAAAATATTATACATTTTGTTTATAGTCGTCTATAAAACAGAGCCGTATAGGTTCCGGTATAGAATAGGCCACCCCTTTCTTTCCCGTGGGTGTCGTAAGAGGGTACTAAGGGAACTTATGGTGGAGGGATGGGCAGTAGCGTCCATCTTAATCATCAAAAACCAAATTGCGGTTGCCAACCCGCCTGCTAAGCATGGCAACTACTGGCAAAACACACCCTTGTGGGGGGGCTTATGTTCAACAGTAGACAGATAACAGCTGATACAAGAAGTCTGTAAAACAGTATTGATGCGAAACTATCAAATTAAAATATAAGGTAATGAAGTTTAGAGATATGGCATCAACTCAGAATTGAGCCTATTGTATGCGGAATTGTTGCGGTAATTTTTAACATTAGTTCGTCCCTACGCTAGACTTCTAGTTTAGTAGTAAAAAAAAAAAAATTAAAGGACATAATAAAAATACAATTGTGTTTAATTAAAACGATTAATTTGCAATGTTGCGTACAGAAATTATGGACACAGTGCAAAATCAAGATACCATATATGACATGTTGAGAATAGCACTCCTGCGCATGACCGTATTGGCTTAACGACACCTTAATGATCACTTAATCACTGAATACCTGAATAACGGCCTCTTTCATTAAAAACCGAGATGTGGCTAAATTGGATGTACAACTCTTCTATATATTTTAAACTGTCATCGTGTCGTTAAATATTAATATAAATCTCTTTAATTCGTTTATTTTTATAAGACTGCCGAAAGGTATATGTAAATAAATTTGTATGTATGTATATATACCTACAGACGTTACCACTTTCTAACAAGTGGGCCGTCAGCTTGTTTGCATTATAAGTTGCATAAAAAAAAAACATATAACCACTTGCATCTTTGGCGCATTTTGGTAAATGAGACGACCTTAGATTCGTTTTATTAATGAGAATACTGTACATGGCTATATGACGACAATAAATACATGATAGTTACAAATAGCCATCAATAAGTTATTTTACTATCAAACTATATAGTCTAACTATATTGCTGAAAAAGATGTGTACCAAATGTCAAAATTAATGAGTGTTTGTTATTTGAGTTCGAAAGCAGAAAGTGGAGGTTTCAACTTTAAATTATAAATGTAATAGAAAGTAAAGAAAGAAATATTATATAAGAAAGATTATTATTTATGAGGCATAGGTTAATAAACGAAAGTTAGTGTAATTTTTTCATAAAGTAGTGTTCAGATTTAGATTAATATTTGTCTATAATTACTTATAAGTAGTATAGATATTTTCACGTTCTCTTACAGGTTAGACAAAGAGTAATATATACAATATATATATTTATTTATTTATTCATTAGTACAAATATGTTTACATGGCGGACTTAATGTTAAAACCATTCTCTCCCAGTCAACCAGTAAGTGTCAGAATACTCGAATGCGGTACTAGTAATTATTGATATACATACTTAAATTACATATATATATATATACACATAAATAACAAATATACTTACACATACATGACATATATTATACACAAAATTGAGAATAATATAAAGTACTTATATATACTTATGTATAAATATATACAGTTATGGTTCATCTATATATTTAAAAATAAATGAAAATAATCTCCATTATAAATACATCAATTTGGAGACAGCAAATTGCCGTCGTGTGGCGTTACATTGATATTATGTAATTAATTATATTGACAACTTATGGCAACATGCGACGATGTCGTAAAGTTTAGAGTTTTATAGCCATTACTAACATACTATTAAAGGAGACACTTAATTATAATCCTTTTAAATACAACAACACTGCTAGAGATAGTCAATGTGCTTTTATTTTGTAGAAATTATATTAAACGTGTAAAACTTTTTTTAACTTAAAATGGCGAATAAGCTGACGGGCCACTTGATGGAAAGTGGTAACCGTTAACATTATAAAATACACTATTATTATTATTCATTATTATTATTTTGTACAAAAGTCGTTTGCTTGGATACCTCTGTCGCATTCGTGTTTCAACCGTAAAACAGTTTTTTTTATACAACTTAGGATGGCAAACAAGCTAACGGCCCACCTGATGGAAAGTGGTAACCGTCGCCTATAGACATGAGCCTTACCATGGACATAATAGAGTATACTGTTTCGCCCATGATACCCCCCATGCGTTGCCATTCCTGAGGACTCAGGTGTTATTCCTCTGTACCCTGTAAATTCACGCCATATCCCATCCTTCAAACCGAAACACAGCTATACAAACATAACTGCTTCACGGTAGAAACACGAATGGGACAGAGGTACCCAAGCAATCGACTTTTTTACAAAGTTTTGTGTTTGCATAGCTGTGTTTCGCTTTGAAGGGTGGATATGGCACTGAATTTACAGGGTACAGAGGAATAACCTCAGGAATGGCAACGCATGGGCGAAATAGTGCTCTATTAAGTCCATGGTACTGCTTATGTCTATAGACGACGGTTACCACTTTCCATCAGGTGGGCCGTCAGCTTGCGGACCAAGTCGCTGGTAGAAACTAGTAGTTATATAGAAAGGTAGCTAAGAATTTACATCAATCAATAAATATGTAATATGATAACTTTATAACCGAACAATGTATAGTGTGTTCGCGAGCGAGCAGTAAAATGTCGCGCGCACGCTCCCCCGCGGTGTCCGGACATCTTACCTCGGCGCACGACGCTGTGGGACACTTATTATTAACACATTCCGTGGCTGTCTATTAACGTAGTAATAGACCAGGCTATTGGTTGTAACGTGTACAGTATAAAAAAGTTATTTCCTGGCATTTAATAAGTTTCCTGTGTTTATTCGTACCGTCGAAATTAAGATCCGAACGCCGCGCCGCGCCGCACCGGCCGCGTCACTTTCGTTCGTTTTTAGATCATTATCGTGAAATTACTATGGTATTTTTAATAAACAATTTTTTGTATATACCTACACATATACATATTGTAGTATAGTAACAATTAATTAGATATTTTACTGAACTAAGTGTTATCTTGCAGAAGTCCATATCATTAGTTACTTGATTATAATTATTTTGTTTAATTCCGCTATCGTTTGTTGTGGGTATATTAATATAAAATTGTATATATATTAGGTGATGGTAGTTTAATAAATCACTCGATCATCATGCGATCGTCGTTTCAATAACACCTATAACATGGTGTCAAGTGTGTATTTAAAATTAGTGGAGAGTGGCTAAGATATTTATATTATTATTAATAGTGTAATAGTTTTACATAGACAATGACAAGTGATTTATTAAGCTACCATCACTTAGTATGTGTGTGACTGCCAACAATCGAGGATTGACCACCACTATTACTACACCACCACTATTCCACAAATTGTAATAATATGGATATATATATATATATATATATATATATATATATATATATATATATATATATATATATATATATATATATATATATATATATATATATATATATTTGACTTCTGTAAGATAATATCTAGTTATCTAGTTCAGTAAAATACTTATTTAATGGTCACTAAACTAAAACATGTTATATGAAAATATTGCTTATTATACACATACTAATGTATAGGTAGTGGAATTAAACAAAATAATTCTAATGATATTTCATTAGAATTATTTAAGACTGGTTATTACCAGTCTTAAATATGTATTTTTTTTTATATAAATAAACTATACCTATTCTATCGAGTTCATACCTTCACAATTTGACAAATCCATTTAATGATAATATGTCACAATTAATTGCCAGCTGATGTTCTTAATCTATACTTATCAAATCATTTGTACCGATTGATTTCTAAACACACAGTCGAAATTATGAAGTCTAAGTTAAAATTAGGAGCATAGGTTTATTTTATAATGCAAACATCCGCATAGAAATTATTTTTTCAAATTTCTACATAAAGAGGATAACTACTTATTGCTGGTGAGCCACAGCTAATATTTTTATACTCAGTAATCAAATGGACTACTCCTATATAGCATTCGTGGACAAAATATCACTTAATTAAGTCCATAATAGGCCCAGGCTTTTAAGTCGACGAATGGCATATATATCTTCGGTGTATAAATTAGTCCAATCATAAGAAAACATCTAAATATAAAAGAAATTATATGCATGTGCTTTGCATGTACACGTCAGACGATGTGTACATGCAAAAGGGATGTACATGCATATTCCAAAGTAATTATTACAAAAAAAATTAAAGACGTGTACAATCGAACAGATCACTATCAATCTATCTATCCGTTCGTCATCACTTCCATTTACTAGAATAGAGTACAACATGCCGCAGTCCGCTAGACATGTGGCAAACTAATCTACTCGTATCAATAGATACGTTTTCGCTACCGTACGAATGATGTAAAATAAGACGGTAATGTTTGATGTCTCGTTCGTTTGATATATTCGTTTATCTAAGGGATGATCTAAATGTACTTAAGTACATACACTTAATATTGTCACGTCTAAGAATATTGCTTTATCTATAGTAAGCTAATTTTTATTAATAATTTTAAAATATCATTCTGGTAATGAAAAAAAAAATTAAATATCCTTTAAATTTATGGAATATTGTTATCTTTGGTTTCAGGGGTGGGATATGACAGTGAAATTACAGGCTACCGGTGTACAACACTTTAGGTATCAGTACTGCCAACGTATGAAAGGTATCACGGACGACACAGTTTATTTTTTGTTTTAATATTTCTGTATTGTTATGTCCACGGTACTGTTCATGTCTATAGGGATATATTATCTCTTTCCATCTGGTAGTCTGTCACCTTGTTTGTCATTGTATGTTGCATAAAAAAAAATACAAAGGACACTCACCTGTATTCTGGCTTCTGTCAAACCAATTTTCAGTGCAAGTTCTTCTCTGTAACAAAGAAATAACATTATAATTATTTTTATTTAAATTCAATTTAGTAATGGGTATCCTATCTTTTTAATATTATAAATGGATGGATAGAAAAATGTTTATCACACTTTTACGCAAAAATTACTAAATAAAACTGAATTTAACGAATGAAATTTGGTACATAGAGTAGGTTATATACTAACATAGGACATAAAATACTTTATGTAGTGATTCACGTAAGAGAAGCCACAGGATACAGTTAATAATTAATATGTTTTATTAAAATTCTAACAAACAATTATATATAGGTAATAATTTGACGAATGAAATAAAGTTATGATCTCAAAATATAGTAAATTCTTTAACCAGGTATAATATTGTGCATACCCAGTTGTTTTGTTTTTATTGCATTTACTTTTATATTTTTATTATATCTATTAAATAATAAAGTTTCTATTTATTTTAGTTTTTATTTACTATACAAATAAGTACCCTACATTTGTGCTAATAAAAATCTTACTATTATTATAAAAGCGAGTGAGTTTTTACCTCTTATCGCCTTAACGACTTAGTAAATCACTATGAAATTTGGTATACACGTTCTATATGAGATAGAGAAGGACATAAGTATTTTTATCTCTGTCAGTAAACGCGCGGACCAAATTACGGCTGTAAAATATAGTATTTAACAAAAAACTTACCTAGTGAAAACGTCAGGATAATGAGTTCTCCCGAAGGACTTCTCAAGCTCATCGAGTTGGTAACTGGTGAAGGTCGTTCTGTACCGCCTCTGTTTCCTCCGAGGGATATCTTCATCATCAAATCCGCTGCCGGAGCCCGGACGTTCAGGTTCAAGCGGCGGAAGATCTGGAGTTGTCGACGACCCAGGATCAGAAACTCCCATTTTTAAATAGTTTTTTTTAGAATGAAACAATTCTAATTATGAATTTAGTTTTTTTTTTATCTGAAACAAAAGAAATAAAGGTTTATTGTTTTTTTTTTTGTAAGTTTATTAACTTTTTACTTCACTTCACTTCCTTAAAAAGGACATAAAATGATTATTTATGGGGAAAAGTCATGATAGAAACTATTTTTATAATTTAGTACTCAGTATAATCTAGTGGCCGTACCTACGTTAAACAACATTTTAGTGCTAATTACAAAATTCATTATAATAGGTACCTTTCTTATCGATATTTTATTAAAACTTACAATTTTATGACTCGTGGTACGATAGGGCAAAGCCCCTTTGGCAGTCAAGCGTCAAGCAATAATGCCCATTATGCCTATCGTGTTCCGCATCTAAATGTAATATGCAAATATTTATTTTCACAAATAAACATTTACTAGATGCTGTGGATAATAGAAAATAAACGAAATTTGCTTTTTTTTTAGCTAAAATTCGTAGGTAGTAAAAATTTATGAGTGAATTATCTACTACGTGTAAAATTTCATATTTTGTTTAGAATTTATATTGGTCTCAATAATAACATATCTAAGAAATAAAAAAGATAAAAATATTTCAAAAGTCTTGAATGAATATCTATTGAAGTTACAGTATACTCAGTGGCCATTGATATACATATATCAAGATACCCAGTCTGAGATTAAAAACGACACTGAAAATAGAGCACTTATATTGAAGCATTTTATGCACACTATTTTAACCATAGCTAAATGTGTCGAAATATTTTTAAACATTTTGTAGTAATATGACGACCGGATGCGTATTTTCATATTATTTATTATACTGCAAATAATGAACTCGGCTCATTTTGTGATAACTACTTAATTATTTTTAATTTTCAATCGACTTCAAAAAGAAAGAGGGTCTCAATTCGGTTGTTTTTTTTTATGTTTCTTACCTCATAACTTCATCAATTCTAAACCGATTTGGATTTTTTTTATCTGAAAGGATATACTTACCGTTTGGTCCCATTGAAATTTTATCAAAATCGATTCAGTAGTTTAGTTTTTAGATCAAAACTACTAGTTTTGTCACAATTGAAATTTTTTTTTTTTGTACACAATCTTTAATTATAATTCGGGTTATTTTAGAGCGCAATCTTAGCACGTGAATGTGAATCTAGACTTTTTTTATATCTACGTTCGTCACACTTCGCTGATTTTATATGCATTTGACTGGAGCAGCCAATACAATTTTACGACCAATTCAATGTTTGTAATAAAGATGTTCCTATGTTTCTTTGCCTTATATAATTGTTCGTAATGGGATCAAATTGTGATCATTAATGTCGACATTTTGCACGAGAAGAGTAAGGAATACATTTCTTTTTTAATTATCATGATCCCTAAACTAAGCTGTTACAATGTTTGTAGTGACTTTTTCATTGATAATTGCAGGTAATTGTAGGTCTGTGTAACGTAATGAGTATTACATAATTTTACTCGACTATAAAAACAGAAAAAAAAATACTGGGTGTTCAAAAGGGTGTATTGTATATAAGATGTTTTTTTAAACCACAAAAATAACAGGAATGCATACAGTTTGTCTCATGATAAATAACTTTATATTATCAATTTAATCAAATATATTTTAAACCAAATCAAGTGTCAATTATAAATAAAATATTTTTTATTTATTTTATGACCTTATATGTAAATCTTTCTGAATAAATCAATCGCTCCATTAAAATTCTTATTTGCAAGAAACAGCTATTATAATGACACAACGATTCTCAAGTACACGCAGTATTTTATCCATAGGAATTTGCAAAATTCAAAGGAAAAATGAATTAAATACATTCTGCTTACATCATAAAATATAAACAAACTAATGCATACAAACGGTGACCAAGTACAAATACGTAAAACATTGCATTTACATCTTTTGTTTAATCACAGTCGTCGTAAAAAGCATTTTCTCTTTCATAACCTGTTACTTTTCTATATTCTCAGAATTTACAACGTGGGAGGTAAACACATTGTATAATGCAAACTGTTTTATGCGATTTCGCTAAAGGTTTAATTACCTGTTTCTAATAATTATTGCTAATTGTTTATGGCGTTTGTAAAACGAGATTAGTAAAAATATTAATTACATGGCTTTTTGTATATTCCTCTGAGTTTGCAATCAGTTCTTTCCGCGTATTGATTATTCTCAATTAATTTAATCTTGTGCTTAGAATAATTATAAAAACCTTATAATACTAGTTAGGTATAATTAAAAATATAAACGTAATTTATGAAAATAAAAATTAATTGCCGAACACATGCAAGCGTATATCTTCAGAATGTATGCACTTATATTGTTACTGATTTTTGTTGTATCTGTAATATTTCCTTACAAGGTTTGTATGTAAGAAAATGTTTGAGAAATTTTACGAAAAAGTAAAATATCTGGGTTGAAAATATCCATACAAAAAAGGAAACGAGTAAAAGAGAAGAAGTAGTAAGCTCAGTAGAGTGGTCTTTAAAAATATTACTAGGTGATTGTATAGGAAATTGATAGGTTGATTTTCAGTTAAAAAAAATGCACTATCTTAAGTGTAACAAGTATTTTCTCCCATACACATACTTAGTATTAATTATACATACCTACTGATAACCACATTTACGCATACATGGATACAAATTTGACCTATTTTGTGTGAAACATTTAAATGGAAACAATCTATATAATCTGATGGTTTTGTTTGAGGCTAATTTATTAATTTGTCCTATTCACAATACTTATTCCAATACGACAAATATGTAATTTGAAATATCAAAGACGCAGAAACGTTATTCTCGCATATATATAGAACTCGCATTATGTAAAGTAATATGATTTGAATAAAGCATCCTTTTGGTAAAAAATATAGGTGCATAAACTTTATCAATGAATAAGCAAATCCATATTTTTAAGCAATACTTGTATTAAAAAAATTATGTTATGAGATATTTTCAATTTTTAAACATATTTTGATAATTTTTGTTTCGATGAAAAAGATTTTATTTTATTGGTTTCATATTAATTTAATTGTGGTTGAAATCAGGTTTTTTTTTGTGGAAAAAAATCTTAATTTATGTTACTATCGAAATGAATGAAAGTGAAACAATAACATAAATAAATATATGAACCATTTTCTAGCATCAAACTAATTAAATGCTTTAATTCAGCTATCAACTTTGAATTGCGCAACGAAATACGGTTATTCAGTTTGCAAACGAGATCTAATTAAACAAGTGTTTAATTACATTTAAGAGTTGATTACACGGTAAATTTATTAAACTAGTACATAGTTAGGTAATTATTTAATAGCGGTAAAAAACAGTGACTGTAATATTGAAACAGATTTCGTAGATTCCAGAGGGAGACTTTGTACAAAAGTCGATTGCTTGGGTACCTCTGTCCCATTCGTGTTTCTACCGTGAAGCAGTTGTGTTTGCATGGCTGTGTTTCAGTTTGAAGGGTGGGATATGGCGTGAATTTACAGGGTACAGAGGAATAACACCTTAGTCCTCAGGAATGGCAACGCATGGGCATCATGGGCGAAACAGTATACTCTGTTATGTCTATGGCACTGCTCATGTCTATAGGCGACGGTTACCACTTTCCATCAGGTGGGCCGTCAGCTTGTTTGCCATTCTAGGTTGCATAAAAAAAAAAGGTAAAATTGTATATTTTCTGGTATAAGTTACAATTTTCCTTTTATTATACTTCTTTTCTTTTCCTTCAGTCTTTTTTGGTTTACATTATTTTAGTGTTCTAAAACCGTAAAATAAATTAAATAAACTACTCTCAGAGTTATAAGTATTTAAGACCTACTAAGAGATATGATATAAGATAGAAACAGTTTTTATCTAACTTCAGAGTACTGAATCCTGTATTTCCTCAGAATCTACCAAAAAACCAATTTAGAAATATATCACTGATTTTCCGATCCCAACTGCAGCTAATTAGCAGTTATTTTTTATAATAAATAAGATATAATAATGAAAATACTGAATTTCTAGGTGAGGAACACTTAATTAGTATACAGGAATGACGGTAAATAAGATATAGTAGGTGCAGTTTTTCCATAATACTCATGATCTCGCCTCTATTATCTCCATCGCCATCTCATAAGAAGCAGCTCTTCTCAAACAAATTGTTAGCTATTACAATATATACATACTTATCTGTCACGCCTGTCTTCCATTAGGGTAAGCAGAAACAAGGGAACGCTAAATACTTCGATTCAAACAAACCTCTCACGCTTCTTCCACATTCATCAATCTTTTCATATACGTTCGTCGGTTATGGGTTCTTTTAATAAAGCCCTTTTTCAGCATGTCGCCTATTTGGTGGAATATAGCTATTACAAATAGAAAAAAGAAACAACTTCTATCTTCTACCCACTTTAATATCTTTGCAAATTTTGTGTGCAATCATGTGCGAGTATCGTGTTTCAGCTACGATTATAGATTCGTTCAGCCAATAGTGGCGACTGTATCTTCGGCTGTGAGCCGTGACGGCACCTGCGCGAGCATCTGCCCCACGCGCCGGTAACCACAAGTTCCTATAAGAGTGAAATTTTCTATTAACTTAACAGAGTTACCAGATCTATGTAGACAAAATGATCAAGTAATTTCTGAATCAATAATCACCATTTAGCATAACCAGTTACATTTCTATAATAACCATTTACAGATCGTTTGCCAAGCGTGACAACTATTGGCAAAACCTTATGGGGGAGGCCTATGCTCAGCAGTGGTCAGTTAACGGCTGATGATGATATTTCTATAATTTAACAACATTTTTAGGAGGAAAGGATTGTTAGTAATGAGGTCTAACAGTCCCATTGCTAGCAATATATCCTATCAGATCGATCTTCACGCGATTCTTCCTGGAAACTGTTGTGCTTTATTCTTGTGGGATTCGTCACGATGACATTCCTCGACCATTAAGTTCATTTAGTCGCCTCTTACAATACCGATGAGAAAGGAAGGATAGCTCATTCTTTATCTGAGACCACACGG